CACACAGTTATAAGTGTCAGAATCAGGGCTGACCACAAAACGTGCAAGTCAAAGTCCATGCATGTCATCGCTGCATCATCCTGTTTTTTCAGTGTTAGAGGAGCCTTGCCAGGTTTGAATTTTTAACTCTAAGAGACTGTTCCCAACATATAAGGTAGGGTCCCTAGGCCTGGCCGGCGATCAGGGCCATCTGTGGGGCAACCAGTGGGCAGGTGATTGGGGGACCCCCACTGGCACCCAGCTTGGCTGGCAGCTTGGTGCTGCCTGCTGGCCCGCCCCGCCCCCTGGTCGCCTCCCTTTGGGGGGGGGGGGGAGACAGGTGCTCCTGTGATGAGGGTCTGCCCCCTGGTGGTCAGTGTGCATCATAGCGACTGGTCATTCCGCTGTTTGGTCAGTTTGCATATTAGGGTTTTCCCCCGGCGCATGCGCGGGAGCAGGCCTGCTCGCCCGTTGGGCAGCGTGTAGGAGTGCCATCGCTGCACCGGCTACTGTAGATGCTACCACGTGGTTTTCCAGAAGCTGTCTTCGTTGTTGTTTTGTTATCCTCATTCGAGGATATTTTTCCCATTGGTTTTTAGAGAGAGTGGAAGAGAATGAGGAGAGAGAGAGAGAAAAACATGGATGTGAGAGAGACACATCGATTGGTTGCCTCAGGGTTGGTACGTGCCCTTGACCCAGAATCGAACCCGAGACCCCTGTGCACTCACAGGCCGACGCTCTATTCACTGAGCCACCCTGGCCAGGGCTCCGGGGGGGGCGGTGCTTCCCATCTCCTGCGGGGGTGAGTGCGGACCCAGGCCCCGCACAGCCCGGCCCACACCCGATACCAAGGCCTTCACTGTAGCCGCGTGGAGGTGGCGCAGGTCCTTTCTAAACCCCGGCCGATGCTGTGACGCGTCTCGGCTCACAGCCCAGGTCTCCGCAGTCACTCGGTGGAAGCCCTCCCGGTGGCCTGTGCGCAGGGTGGCCCTGTGCTGCGGAGTCCAAGCCGGGACTCCATGCTGAGCCTGCAGGGGCCACTGAGCCAGGACGGCGGCCTCAGACAGGACTGACCTGGGTCGCTGGCCGGGTGGTCACCCACCTGTCCCAGCCCTCCATCTGGCTGCCCTGTGGCCTCCCACACACTCCCTGGCTTTGGTCTCTCCCGCCACGGTGGCCTCCCCGAAATCCCAGGAGCTTAGCAGCCGTGTTCGGGTTTGGGGGGTCAGCAGGGCTGGCCCCCACTTCCTCCCGAGGCCCTCAACACAGCCCAGCGCCACCCACGCTCCCACCCCCACCCCCGCCGCTATAGTCGCCTTAGTCTTGGATGTGGTTCAGTGAAACTCGGAGGTTGACGGCCCTGTGGCCTGGGCCTGGCAGCTCCAGGGGAGGGACAACCCGCAGGGCACCCACAAAAGTGCCCACACCTCACTCGCTGCAGGATCTGGAGGGGTGCGGGCGTGTGGCTACTGTGCAATTCCTTCAGCGTTTCTTCTGGAAGGTGTATAACAAAATGGTCGGGGAAATGACCGCATTTCGTCTTTACAGCAAGTCCTGGCAACGCGGGGGAGTGCGGCCAGGCAGCCTCGGGGCGGCACCTGGGAGGTGGTCGGAAATGCTGGGTCTCGGGTCCCACCCTGGATGGGAA